CAAAGGCGATGCACGCTCGCCTCCCAGGGCTCGGCAGCGATGCGGGAGTCACCCCGGGTCCCACCCTGGTGTCCTGGGTGGCATCGGGTCCCTGGACAAGGCTGGCCCTGCCCGTGCCCGGCGACTCGGTAGGAGCATTGCTGCCCTGCCCGCTGGCACAGCCGCTCGTGGTGGGGCTGTGTTCGCCGGCGGAATGGGAAGGCTTTTCCATGGTCATTTTTAAAGGTAAACAAGTCCGTTTCTTACATTTTAATTTCTTACTTGTGTTTTTAAAGATAAACAAGTCCATTTCTTACATACAGTACCTGAATTTAAATAGGGGAATGAAAACTGCATTGGTGTTTGGAACTGGCGTTTCCCTCCCGTGTGAAGCACCAGGCCTGTAGAACATCACTCTGGGGTTTGGGAAGCTACAGTAGGAAATCGCCTTTCCAGAGCACCCAGAGCCCTAAACCGCTCGTCAGACACTGGGGAGATCCTGCAACACCGGAGGGCTCTGCCCTGCGCGTCCGCCTGGCCGGCCTGGGGACGGAGGGGGAAGGGAACCTGCCCGTGCGCTCCCTTGGACAGGGGACATCATCTCCTGCGGGTATGCAGAGGAGATTTGTTTCGAATTAACACCTTATTGATCCTGTGTAAAGACATCGAGGGAACGGCTCTGAGCGGCGATGGCGCGCAGCGCACGGCGGGCGCCCGCGGAGCTCGTGATGGAGCTGCCGCGGACGCTGACCCCGCCGAGGGAAAGGGAACCCCTTCCTTCACCAGCCTTGGGGCAAGAGAAGCGATAACAGCCTAAGGGCGTAACATTTGGTGTGGGTTTAGGTTGGTCTGAGAGCATGCAGATCCGGGCCTCAGAGATCCGTCCAGGAACTCCCCCAAAGCTCAGGTCGGGAAGGGGACAAACGCCCCGGCTCCTTCGCAGAGGTGACGCGACCCTTTGCGAAGCCCCCCCGGCGGGCAGCAGGCGGGCTGCCAGGCCAGGACCACGGGCAAGGGGCTTTAATACCTGGGGTGCTGGGCGGGAAGAGGTGCTTGTCCTCGTCATCAGCAGCCCAGCACGGCGAGCGTCAACGAGGAAGCTCGGAGAGGGCAGACAAGGAAGACCATGCTGTGGTCAGAGTAACTTATTCGGTCTGAGAGCATACGTGGAATAAATGTGTCAGACTTTAAAGATGAGTTTTGTTTATTAGCACACCCTTAGGGAAATAATTTGTGCATCATCAGGAGTGATGTCTTCTCACCACCCATCTTCATGATTATTAAAGTATTTATCTAATAGCAAATTTCTTTCAGGCATTTATTCTGGAATGTTATAGGCTTTACAAATATTTACTAATTACAGCAAAGAAGATTTTATTTCAACAACTGGAAAACCACATCTGCAGGGAATTCTGCAGACTCCGAGTTTCAGAGTCTGAGCATCTCAGGAAATTTCCGTTCTCATACGCACACGACATCACCACACTCCCAGCACGAGGCAGAGCAGCACAGAACAGCTCCTTCAGATAATGGGTACCAGTGAAACCAGCGTCATTTCCCAGGCAGGAGAAACACGTTGTAAAACCGTGCCCTGGGTCTGGGGTCGCTCCCGAAGGAAGCGCAGATAAACAAGGGACTCTCCGTTTCAAACAAGGTTCACGTGTTCGTAAGAAAAACAAGCTCCCGTGGCTTGGTGGCTGCGCTGGTTCTGGGTCGGATGCGTCGGCCTCTGCTCTCCGGAGCCGCCTTCACCTGTGGATACAGAGAAATGAGAAGAGCACACGGGACCGGGCTGAGGTGAAGGTCTCGGAGCCCGGTAACTCGTGACAAACTCAATGAGGAGCTATGAAAGGCCATCAGTAAGGCGAGGAGCGGAGTGATGTCTCCCCGCTGGCTGGTGAGCTATCCTGGTTACGTAGCACCTTGCTGGTCTTGATGATCTTAGAGGTCTTTTCCAGCCTTAATGACTCTATGATCCTATAATTGTGGGAGCAGCCAATGTGGGAAGCTGTAACGCGCGACGGTAACAGCCTGCTGCCCCCTGTCCAGCGAGTAACCCTGCGCTGGAAGTACCGAGGAGGAAGAAGACCTGTTCAGACTGTGGCATGACAAAGCCAGGGGAGCACAGCCTTTCTCACGACATTTTTGCCGCTTTGGATGGATAACGCCGTCGCGGGGCTGCGTTGCCTGCGCAGGCGATGCCCTGCGGAGCGAGACGGCCGCTCCGGTCTGGAGGGGAGGGCATCCCCATCGCCAGGCAACGCGATAAGGAATGGAGCTGGGGGGTGATGGAGTCTGACGGGCGCAGGGCATCCGCGCGGGAGTTGGGAGATTCGGGTCGTGCCTGCGCCAGGGTGACCCTTGAGAAGCTGCTCCCCACCCCGTGCCCTCCCACGCCGCCTCGCGCTGCGCTGGCAGGGAGCTCCAGGCCCAGCTGGAATACCAGTGACAATGACGCTGAGGAATGACTTTTTTAGAACTATATGAGTTTTTTAAAATGAGCTTCTGAGCATGGAGGATTGGTCCTTGGCCATGCCGGCGTGTGGCTCTGCCCGATACACGGGACCTGTCATGGAGTGCAGCAGAGCATCGTCAGGCAGGACCCTCACAGGGATGGAGCTCTACCCTGGCTTCTCCTGGAAAAAGATTTGAAACTAGTGAAATTTCACATTCTAGAACAAAATGATCTGGGTTTTTTTCATCTTGAAAATGGTATATTGATGCGTTCCACAGTAATGGGATTGTGGCTGTGCACGCCACGTCTTGCTATAGTGTTGAAATAAGCTGTGTACGCGTACAGCCGAACTCTAGAACATCACTTACTGCTGTACAGAGACAGGGAAGGTACCGGGGCTTTTGAGTGTGTATTTTTAATAAAACAACGTGTTTGGCCACATCTCCTTACTGCAGTGCTCCAGTTCCATGCCAGTGCAGTGGTGACCCGGCAGAAATCAGCTGCTCAGTCGGCAGCTCGGGTGTCGGGAGCAGCGCGGTGCTGTGCAATGCTAACAAGCCCTGTCTGGAGCGTGCCGCTGACCTCTTAAATTGCCTCCACGCTTGCAGCGTGGGAGCGCTTCGAGCCGCCGGTCCCCGCGCAGCGTCTGCGTTTCACCTGGCCCTTGCCCGCCCGGCCCAGGCAGACAAGGTGTTGCGCTGAGCCGGAGCCACCCGGCAGATGGGAACTTTGCTGGGCTCAAACTGCGCGAACCCAGCTGCCTCCATTTGTGGGCAGAAGATAAAGCGGGGAGAAAGAAGGGCACGCTGGCCAGAGCCTCCACATCCTGTCAGAAGCCTTAAAATAGAAGCCTGTATAAATAGGGTGCGACATAGGATATTATATAGTACCGCGGTATCAAATTGCAGAATCTATATATAGCGGAGGATTCGTCAGAGGCCGGGACTAAGCAGACAGATATAAATACAGCCAGGAGCTCTGGATTCGTTTCCACAAGCGGCGAGGGAAGTTTGCGGTGCTGGGGTACCTGCTCCACCCAGGTGACGCTGTCCCGTCACCCCGAGCCCAGATCTGCTCCTACGTCTGCGGCGGCCCTGCCCCCCCCAGGTGACGCTGTCCCGTCCCCCCGAGCCCAGATCTGCTCCTACGTCTGCGGCGGGCAGGTGGAGGGCAGTACTGGCGGTACTGGTACCAGTGCAGGCGTATTATCCCTATATGTTATTGGGATGCTCCTATTTGTTTGGACTTCAATTATTTTTCTCAAACGTTCTGTGTGATGGTGATGTCAGACACCAAACGCTGACGTTCTGCTGGTGACAGAAAACCTCTTGCGTTGGGAACCCTCTTCTCCGGCTGCTTGCAAAGGACGAGTAGCGCAGCAGCTCATTTTCTGTGCGTGTACGGGGAGCCAGTGGCAGCGTTCAGTAGAGGAAAGTCCGTGCGGTTACTCCTTTCTAAGCAGGAGGATAGGCTCTTGTTGGGTAGGAAGGCGCCGTCCGCTCTCCAAAAGAAGAGGAATTTTCCCAGAGTCACGCAGCGGGGCAGCGGCAGGAGCGGGGGAAGAGGTCTGGGCACCCTGCTCCCTCCGACGCTGCCGACAGCCCCTCCGCCTCTGCACAAAATCGCGCCTACGTGTCGGCTACGTGGGTGAGACGGACTCCCACTCCCAGGGAAGTTCAGTGACTGTGAAATTAGTAAATTACACAGGCCCGCAGAACTTAGAAAAACAATATAATCCTGGGGGTACTGAGATAATTAATTTGCTAATCAACTACACCTTGCTTTTTTTAATCTGCAAAAAGCACGCCGGTTTTGTTTCCCCGTTTCAGCCGCTGTTTGCTTTAAATCATTTCAGATGCGGAGGTTGTCAGACAAGACAATTAACATGGGGAAGGGGGAAAGTATTACCATCCATTATTTGCCGTAACGTGAATTTAAGCCGGGAAGTCAAATGATAAAATACGTGGTGAAAAGTCTTGGCGGTGGGAGTGCCTCGATGAGTAATAGCCTTGGGCTTCCGAGCCTTGAACTTAACGTGCTAAGTAAATCCCCGAGGTCAAAAAGTATGAAAATTGTTGCAGCTCGGGGAGATATATTTTAACTTCGCAAAAAAAGGTCCTCGCAGCATCGCTGCCGGGCTCCGGCGGGGCCGGCAGCTCCGGGAGAGCCGCGGGGCTGAGGCCGGCCGCGGGG